ATATTGGAAGTAGTTCCGCAATAGCTTAATACAGCTTCGCATAACGTACATTTTACAGTTTTTTCATCAAAGTTTCGCTTAAAAAATTTCCACACGGTTGATTTCGGTGGTAGCATTTTCAAAACTGAACTGAAAATCTATGAAACCTAGACCTAATTGGGGGATTGATTTTTCTGAAAGGTTCTTGCGTAGTGAATAATACTCACAAATGAATAGCTAGTAATGACTTTGTAAAGAAAGATAACCCATGAACTTGTTCATAAATTTGTAATCAAGAGTTATCGCTCTTTTTTTATCGTATTTTATTTAGTCGATAGTCGGTCGCATTATTCGATAGTCGGTCCTTTCGACTGACAGTCGAATAGTCGACTATTCGTTGACATCCCTAAAAAAAATTAATAAGATTCCGCAGACGGTTTGAGTTTCCAGCTTTTAACTGATGGATGAATGGATTTTTCTCATTATAAAGAGCAAGAGAACTGTTTCCTGGATTTAATAAAGATCTGAAATTGAAAAAATTGAAAGTAGTCAAAACTTAATACTTTATACATTTTTAGCTCACCTGAGCCGAAGGCTCAAGTGAGCTTTACTGATCGCATTTTGTCCGGCGTCCATCTGTCTGTCTGTCCGTCTGTCTGTCTGTCTGTAAACTTTTCATATTTTCGACTTCTTCTCAAGAACCAATGGGCCAATTTCAACCAAACTTGCCACAAAGTATCCTTGGATGAAGGGGATTCAAGTTTGTTCAAATGAAGGGCCACGCCCTCATTCAAGGGGAGATAATTGGGAATTAATGAAAATTTGGTGGCATGTTTTAAAAATCTTCTTCTCAAGAACCACTGTGCCAGGATAGATGAAACTTATGGGGAAATCATGACCCTCGAGGGTAGGGCGGGGCCAATATGGCCGACCAAAGTTTTACAAAGAAATATATAGGAAAATTCTTTAAAAATCTTCTTCTCAAGAATAGCAAAGCCATAATTGATCATATTTATATGGAAGCATCCTCAGTTAGTTTAGATTCAAGTTTGTTCAAATCATGACCCCCCGGGGTAGGGCGGGGCCAAAATGGCCGACCAAAGTTTTACATAGAAATATATAGGAAAATTCTTTAAAAATCTTCTTCTCAGGAATAGCAAAGCCATAATTGATCATATTTATATGGAAGCATCCTCAGGTAGTGTAGATTCAAGTTTGTTCAAATCATGACCCCCAGGGGTAGGGCGGGGCCAAAATGGCCGACCAAAGTTTTACATAGAAATATATAGGAAAATTCTTTGAAAATCTTCTTCTCAAGAATAGCAAAGCCATAATTGATCATATTTATATGGAAGCATCATCAGTTAGTGTAAATTCAAGTTTGTTCAAATCATGACCCCCAGGGGTAGGGCGGGGCCAAAATGGCCGATCAAAGTTTTACATAGGAATATATAGGAAAATACTTTGAAAATCTCATCTCAAGAACCACTAGGCCAGGAAAGATGAAACTCATGTGGAATCATCCTCAGGTAGTGTAGATTCAAGATTGTTCAAATCATGACCCCCGGGGGTAGGGTGGGGCGAAAATGGCCGATCAAAATTTTACATAGGAATATATAGGAAAAATCTTTAAAAATCTTCTTCTCAAGCTCCACTTGGCCAGGAAAGATGAAACTCATGTGGAATCATCCGCAGGTAGTGTAAACTCAAGTTTGTTTAAATCATGACCCCTGGGGGTAGGGTGGGGCCAAAATGGCCGATCAAATGTAACATAGGAATATATAGGAAAAATCTTTAAAAATCTTCTCCTCAAGAACCACTTGGCCAGGAAAGATGAAACTCATATGGAATCATCCTCAGGTAGTTTAGATTCAAGTTTGTTCAAATCATGACCCCCAGGGGTAGGGCGGGGCCAAAATGGCCGATCAAAGTTTTACATAGGAATATATAGGAAAATTCTTTAAAAATCTTCATTTCAAGAACCACTAGGCCAGGAAAGATGAAACTCATGTGGAATCATCCTCAGGTAGTGTAGATTCAAGATTGTTCAAATCATGACCCCCGGGGGTAGGGTGGGGCGAAAATGGCCGATCAAAGTTTTACATAGGAATATATAGGAAAAATCTTTAAAAATCTTCTTCTCAAGCTCCACTTGGCCAGGAAAGATGAAACTCATGTGGAATCATCCTCAGGTAGTGTAGATTCAAGTTTGTTCAAATCATGACCCCCGGGGGTAGGGTGGGGCCAAAATGGCCGATCAAATTTTACATAGGAATATATAGGAAAAATCTTTAAAAATCTTCTCCTCAAGAACCACTTGGCCAGGAAAGATGAAAATCTTATATGGAATCATCCTCAGGTAGTTTAGATTCAAGTTTGTTCAAATCATGACCCCCGGGGGTAGGGTGGGGCCAAAATGGCCGATCAAATTTTTACATAGGAATATATAGGAAAAATCTTCTTCTCAAGAACTATTGAGACAGGAAAGATGAAACTCTTGTAGAATCATCCTCAGGTAGTGTAGATTGAATTTTCTTTAAATCATGACCCCCGGGGGTAGGGTGGGGCCAAATGGCCTATAAAAGTTTTTAATAGGAATATATAGGGAAACCCTTTAAAATCTTCTTTTCACGTACTTCAAAGCCATGCTTAGTGATATTTATAGGGAATCATCCTCAGGTATTGTAAATTCTAGTTTGTTGAAATCATGACTCCCTGGGGGATTAAAATTCAAGCCCCCTCCCCCCCTCCCTGCCCTTAGTAAACTTTCAGTTCTGATCTGATATGTGCTTTTTTCTAGCCAATTGCTCAGGTGAGCGATGTGGCCCTTGGGCCTCTTGTTTAAAAAATAACATGCGTAATCTAGTGTGAATGAAATACATGGATTCTTAGACCCTGAATTCTTTCTTTTACTCTTAGTACATATGATGTCAAAGCATTATTGTAGTCAAGTTCCAATATGCTAATTTTATATTTTAAAATTCAGAAACTTTATTACCCTGTTTGGCTATGTAAATTCAAAGAAGTGTTCTAGAGATACTATCAAGTTGCTCTGCAGTTTCAAGGGCTTTTATATGCTGATGTTGATGTAGGATTTGCAAAGTCACTGAATCTCATAATCTGCGGTGTTCGCTCTGCAGACTCTTTATTAGCTGCCTTGTACTTGCTTTCATTTCCTCGTTAAATTAATAATAGAGTACTGTAGTTCATGTCTTTCCTGATCACCGTATTATTTATGGAGGAATTGTTTTGTTTTAGGTGCATATAAACTTATTTGCAGAAAAGTATCAAGTATATCCATATTGTTATTTAGCAAAATTTCCACATCTGGCATCTCTGTCTTTGATAATATACACTTTTAATGAGAATGAGGAGCAATTACAACTGCAATTACATCTGGTAGCACAGTTGACACCTTGATGATTACCTGCTATCAGTGGCAATAAACAGATTAGCTACCGATAAACACTGCATGACCTCCATTATTGTGATGACTTGTCAGTATTTTATAAATCGAAGTAGGTAAAAAAATCCGGATTTTTTCGAAATCTGTAGAAACGGCAATTAAAAAAAATATCAGGAGACATGCGATGGGGAGGGTTCAGAATCAGTAGACTCTCGATAAATTCGAAGTTGACAGCTCACCTTCTTCTACCATTCTGCACATGTGTTTTTTTATGTGTCTGACTGATTTGCTTATATAAAACACAGGTTTGACATGAGCGGCTTGAAAAATTCTGGATTTTTAGCTCACCGCGACGAAGTCGAGATGAGCTTATGCCATACCCCCGGCGTTGACGTCGGTGTCGGCGTTAGAGTCGGCGTCCCAGGTTAAAGTTTTAGGCAAAGTCCATTCCCAAGTAACTATAAGCCCTACCCGGACCAAACTTGCATGGATGATGCATCTAGGGATGTACACTACCAGACTTGCTTCGGATGCTGGATCTGACCTATATTTTCCAGATGAGTGACCAGGTTAAAGTTTTTGGAGCAGGTCCATTCCCAAGGAACTATAAGCCATACCCAGACCAAACTTGCATGGATGATGCATCTAGGGATGGACACTACCAGACTTGCTTCGGATGCTTGATCTGACCTACATTTTCATTCCCAAGTAACTATAAGACCTTCCTTAACCAAACTTGCATGGATGATGCATCTAGGGATGGACACTACCAGACTTGCTTTGGATGCTGGATCTGACCTATATTTTCATTCCTAAGTAACTATAAACCCTACCTGAACCAAACTTGCATAGATGATGCATCTAGTGATGGACACTACCAGACTTGCTTCAGATGCTGGATCTGACCTATATTTTCATTCCCAAGTAACTATAAGCCCTACCTGAACCAAACTTGCATGGATGATGCACCAAGGGATGGACACTACCAGACTTGCTTCGCATGCTGAATCTGACCTATTTTCCAAACAAGAGACCAGGTTATAGTTTAGGAACAGATTAATCCCAATTAACTTGAAGTCCTTGATATCTACAGTATTAACAAAGTTATGAATATTTGTTTACACTATACATGTTTTTCACGGTACATGCGTAGAAATGTGTATATGCCCTGTAAGGGGTTAAACACAACTTGCAAGAATGTTGTTGTTGGGATAAATACTAGATATTAAGAAAATATTATGTGAGATTTGCATTACTTACACTGATAACATTCGTCGAGGTGAGCTTCGTATTCTTTGATTACCTATGTTTTTTTTTTGAAATGCAAATTTTTAGAGTCAGTGGATTCGTTAAACTAAAAATCAAATTATGGTCGCCTTACATAACAAAGGTTTGGAGCTCTAAATATGTCTTGTATCTCGACAACGGAAGTTCGAAATTTTGATGATCATTTGAGTGACCTTAGTTAAATATTTGTAAAGATGGAAAATAAATTAGAAAATTTTTAGCTGAAACTGTGTCTATGCCCCTTTAACCTTTTTCTTTCTCATCTGGTAATTTTTTAGAAGTTCTTCCTCCCTCTTCATTCTTCCATAAGCCAGGGACACAAATTCTC